GAAAATGTTTCTAAAAAACAGTACGATCTACTCGGAGTTTTATCAAGAATCAACATTTGTTGCATTGGTGTTTTGTCTATAAAGTGGGAAATATCTGTACAGTAACCTCGCAACACCCACTAAATGAAATTGGCTGACCCAAAAATAAATGGGCAGGTTAAGGTAATATATAAAGATGAGATGGCACGAAATGTGTCCAAGACAGTAAATTCGGATCACAAGGTTACCAAAGTGTAAACCTACATGCACATTGGTCCGGAGTAGTGAAGTAAAAATTGCTATTAAGGAGTTTTCACCAAATTCAAATTCAAAAAGAAAATCAACTGGGATCCAATAAATCATGTCCTGAACGAAACATGTTGGGAATATTGAATTACATAGATATGAAGTAGTGTGTCTGCGGAACTGTAAGTATGCTCAAGGCACAAACCATTAAGGAAAATAAGATGAAAGGTAGAGAGAGATGCTCCCTCTACAAGCGATGACGAAGAATCGCTAAATTTCTCAAAGGTGCCAGATTACACTATGTAACATTTTTTGTTCCTAGCAAGTCCTAGCAAGTATTATTTTCCAACTCCTTTTATTGCAAAACTGCAGAAAATGCCCATTATTCATTTAAACTTTGCTTTTGTGGCTGACAGGATGAATTTTTACAAAGTCTAAATTTCAATATTTTTTGCTAGTTTTTGGATGTAAAACAAAAGCATATAATAAATAAAATTTACACAAATTTTATTTTAAACTTTCTGATACATATTTACAAAGTTAAAAATGAGCAGTTTTTCTAGTTTTGTGAGCATGCAACAAATCACTTTTCCGTTTAAGCCCCCAAAATGTAGTCTCCCATCATGTTTTCATTATAAGATCCCTGATATCTGTGTTCAAAGTCCATTATATCTTGGTGAAAGCGCTCCCCTTGCTCCTCTGAGTATGCTCCCATATTCTTGAAATTGTCAAGATGGGCATCAAGGATATGGACCTTAAGGGACATCCTACAGCCTTTCTGACCATAGCTTTTTACCAAAGTCTCAAGTTCCACATAATTGTCAGCCTTGTTGTTGCCAGAGTGCCTGTACCACAGCAACAAAACTCTCCTAGGCTTCCTTTTCCTACTCTGTGAGCTTCTTTGGAAATTGTGAGCACTCCATGATTTTCCTGACTTGTGGTCCAGTGAAGATGCCAACCTTCACCTTTGCCTCTGATAGCTTGAGAAAAGTCTTGAAGATACTTGAAGGCTGCAGATTCTCTGTCAAGAGCTGTAACAAACTGTTTCATTAGCCCTAGTTTGATGTGTAGTGGAGGGAACAGAACCTTTTGAGGATTCACCAATGGTTTATGCTTGATATTATGTCTTCCTACTGAGAACTCTGTCCATTGAGGCCAGTGCTTCCTCTGGTAATATGCTGCTCTGTCTTTACTATCTCATTGTCAGAGATAACTGGGAAACTTGGTAAAACCTTCTTGGAGTCCCATCAAAATGCCACCATTTTGGAGTCTCCAAATAACCTCCCAGCCATACTTATCATAGTTCAAAGCTTCCAGTAGAAGTTTGACATTGTCGTAGTCCTCCTTAAGATTGCACCGAATAAGCCAAGGGAGAGATGGATACTTGTTTCCATTCTGCAGAAGTACAACTTTTAGGCTTCTGGAGGAGCTGTCAGTGAAGAGTCTCCACTCATCTGGAGTGCATATAATTCCAGTTGCATCAAATAGGCCTGATACATCATTACAGTAGCACAACCTGTCTTCATTAGTGAAGTAATTTGAGAAATGTTGGTGACGTTTTCTTTGGCTTATCACCTGCACACTTTCATCCACCAAGTCCCACTCGAGCCTTGAAATCAAAAGCTCAGCATTTGACTTTGTCAAACCAAGATCTGATAAGGTCATTGATGTCTGTCTGGTTTGGGTAGTAAGGATTCCTCCCAATAGAGATCATAGTCTTGTTCACTGTGTTCTTCATTTTCTGATCTGCTGCCTTCTTCTTTTGACGGTTGACTTCTTTCTTGAGGTGTAGGTACAGGAAGATCAGCACTGTGTTGGTACTGGTGCAATAGAAGAGGGAAGGTTGGATAAGAAATCGCAGGTGCATTTTCCCCAGTTCGGCGTTTGGAAGGATCCACCAGCACAAGTTAGCAGTTGGTTGAGTGATCAGTGGGTTCACGCCATATTCATGGCTCTTTTTTCTCCTCTATACCATCTGTAAAAGAACAAAAGAATTAGTTTCTGTTATATACATTTCGTTTTAAAAAAATGTTCTATTAAGATTTTACCCTTCATATAACTAATGATTTCTACCTACCAATGTTTTCTTACATGTTCACAAGCAAAATGAGATGCCCAGGTTTTGTCTTGGTCCCCAACTGGCATGCCAAAATATGCTTTGTAAGCTTCAAACTATTTTTTATAGATGCTTTTACAGAGAACTTCTTTGCCTCTTGTCTTAATGAATTGACCAACCTATGTAGCAGAATGCACCTGGAGAATGATTGCGCCTCTTGATGACATTTCACTTCATCTGATGTGCTCTTCTCAGGCAGCCAGAGTGAACTGAATGCTGGTTGTGAGTCCCTGTTTTTATAAATTTGCCAAGCAAAACCCTAGAACATTATAGTTTTACATCAGTCTTTCATCAGTGTTCCAGAAGTGTTCTGACCACTAAAGCAAAGTTCAGGGATCAAAAATTTTTTTTTTTAAATTTTGATTAGTTATAAAGAATTGGGAAATGATGCTTATTCCCAGGAACACGACAAAGTGAAATTTTGTTACATAGTGAATTATATGAAGTACAGAAGGGAAACACTGGCTAGAGAAACACAGGATAATGAACTTGAATAAATCATACAGAAGGGACAGAGAGCTAAAAGCAGTTAATGAAATTGAAGGGAATCCAAAACACTTCCTCTCATATGGAAAATCACATTCAGTATTGGACTCTTATACAAACAGGATGGAACAGACAACAGCAAAGAAATGTTAGGACATCGATGGAATTAGTGTGACATTTTACTGTGGCAACGTTTCGCTCTCCAAGAGCTTGATGAAGCTGTTACTGCTAGTATATGTGTTGCGTTAGTTTCCTTAGCCGCCGTTGAACATGCAATGATATCCCAGCTGCTCACAAGTATCAAATGTTTGTTTTTATCCCGGTTATCGTTTTTTGTTTCGTAACCTCTCTTGGTTATCATTTACAAGTGCCTTATACCAGAATCTTTTTCAACGAAGCATATATTGTTTCAAACTAATGTATGGTGTAGCATGGCCTAGTTGGCAACGCTCTCTCTCATTTACTGAGTTATCAGTGGTTCGAACCCCGGGCGGGTTTAAACGAACGTGTTTCGTTACACCTGGCCCGTTCACCTAGCAACTAAGTAGGTACCCGGGTGTTAGTCGATGGTTTATGTCACGTCCTGGGGGACAAGACTGAAGAACCCTAATGGAAATAAGACAGTCCTCGATGACTCACTGACTTCTTTGGGTTATCCTGGGTGGTTAACCCTCCTGGGTTAAAAATCGAACAATATCTTATCTCTTACCATCAGAAGTGACTTGCATCCATTCCAAACAAATATTATAAGTATCTCCTTCACAACATTCTTCCACAGATGGACACGGAGACAAGGACGGTGGTAGTGGTGAGTTCTGGGACGTAGACTTGGAAGCAGGGCGCTCCTCCAGTGGAGAGGACGCTGATGGAGGAAGGAGTGTGGAAGACGAGGCGGGGGAGGGAACGACGGCCAAGAGAGAGACTGTGGTACTGAGGTTAGGGGAGGGTAAGCTGAGCGGTCCCATGAGGTTTATCACCTGCTACGCTTCCGTCTTCACCTTCGTCGTCATGATCGCCTTCATTGTCTGGTTGTTGATCATCTCTCCACCCTTCACGGTGGAGCCGGAGATGCTGCCGGGTAGAGGAGACTCGAACCCAGCTCCCCCAGACATCACCCGCACCACACTCATCCCCACCAACACGGAAACGCCGGAATTTAGCGCAGATTTCAACCAAGCCTGAATCATCTGGTCTGCCTCAGGCTTCACGTTCCTCTCATATAATCACATCCTGTAACTTATTTTTTGTTTTAAAGAACAGGCGATAAATGGTGTAAGGCAAAAACCTGGAGCCATAGAAACGTGGAGATTACCTCCTTGTCGGAGTTCATATTATTGATCCTAAAAAATCTCTCTCAAACATAAACAAGAGACATTTATTAAAATGACGTTTCGCCCACATGAGACTATACAAGTACGGGCCATTTGAGGAGACACATATTAATGTTTATTAACTTACAGATATATCACGAATATATTTACGTATGAGGTCGTTCTGGGGAGTTTATTAGTCTATAACAGAGGTAAAGCCATGCTAGGAGTGCAGATAATTTAGAATTCTATGTGCCTCAAGGTCGAGACTTCCACAAGTTGGAAAAACTAATGCAATTGGCTGTATTGTGAGATTACACAGTGAATTTCATAACTCGGATGCTAGAGTGTTCGGAAATAGTGACTCACTGTAGAGTGTTCGGTAACTGGTACTCGTGGACTCACTGCTAGAGGCTTCGGTAACTCGTGGTCACTGCTAGTGCTTCGGTAAATCGATGGACTCATGCTAGGTGCTTGGTAACTCGTGGATACACTGTAGAGTGCTTCCGTAACTCGTGGACTCACTGCTAGAGTGCTTCGGTAACTCGTGGACTCACTGCTAGAGTGCTTCGGTAACTCGTGGACTCACTGCTAGAGTGCTTCGGTAACTCGTGGACTCACTGCTAGTGCTTCAGTAACGGTGAGAGCTCTGGGATTCATCGCTCAGCAAGAGACCTTGTGATGAATAAGAGAGATATATCTTGTTCCTCAACTTGTCGGTACTGTGTACCATGAATGAAACTGAACATGTGTCGCAGTAATGTTGCAGATGTAGCAGGTGTTTCAGATGTTGCAAGTGTTAATGTTGCCTAAATGTACTGCAAGTGTTAATGATGCAAGAAGTGGTGATGTTAGAAGTGTTGCAGATGTTGATATTATAAATGCTGAAGATGTCAGAAGCGTTGGTGCTGTTACAGGTGTATGTGGTGGTAATATTCTTGCAGACGTTACAAGTACTGCAAACGTTACAAGCATTGCAGATGGTACAAGTGTTGATGTTAGAAGTGTTGCAGATGTAAAGTAACATCTACCATAACTCCAACACTAAAAATACGAGATCGATGAAGCATTGGCCTTAGCTAATGAAAACACACACACACACACACATGTACGTGCGCGCGCGTGTGTGTTTACGCTGAGACGTACACACACGTACATACGTGTGTGTATGTCTCAGCGTATACACCCTTTGCCTCATTTCTCACGAACGAGGTAATTGGTTCTTAACGAGTGTCTGATAAGATCTCTGATGGCGTAGGGTAATTATCTGTGTGTGTGTGTGTGTGTGTGTGTGTGTGTGTGTGTGTGTGTGTGTGTGTGTGTGTGTGTGTGTGGGGACACAAAGGCCATAGGGAGGAGTGACATTTGTGTTCGTCTTAGACTCTCCTACATATGTGCTGAACCTCTTTAGAAAGGCCAGATGTTCTGGCCTCTTTAAGAACACTAGAGGTGCTGGCCTCTTTAAAAATAATGTGCTGGCATTAATAGAATAGAAGGATCATGCCAACAAACGCTTAGGTACCTGGGTACCAGATACCAGGGTACATGGGTACGAAAATACCAGGGTATCTGGGTACCAAGATACCAGGGTATTGGGACCAAGTACCAGGGTATTCGGTACCAAGATACCAGGGTATCTGGGTACCAAGATATCAAGGTGCCTGAGTACCAAAATACCAGAGTACCTGGGTACCAAAATACAAGGGTCGATTAATTTCTTTACAATTTTTAAAGCGGTGCCTTTTTTTTTAATACAGCTAGCTTGTTGATGGTTGTAAATGACTGTTGAGTGGGCTGTAAATGATTGTACCTAACGTTGTGGATGAGTGTAGTGTAGCAGTGACTGCAGAATGCTTTGTAAATTAATGAAATACGTGTTGTAGATGACTCGCGAAATCTTAATGACACGGTAGCAAACAAACCATACCACGGGTGGGGTTAGAACCCGCGATCAGAGTCTTAAAACTTCAGACCGTGCCTATGCTAACCTTCCTGTGGTGTAGAAATATACCTAGTTGGATGAATCTTATTGAAGCTAGTTGGTCCAGTGGCTACCGCGACGGTCTGGAGTTTTAAGACTCTGACCGCGGGTTCTAACCCCGCACCCCTGGTATGGTTTGTGTTGTAGATGATTGTGCAGTTGAGTTTGTAAATTACTGTAGTTTTTGTGAATGTAGAGTGTGTTGTAAATAACTATAGAATGTACTGTAAATAATAGTGTTAATATATGTAGGCTGTGTTGTAAATAAAATATACGTTGTGTTATAAAGGACTGTATTTGTTGTAATGACTATGTGTGTGTAAATGACTACTGTGTGTTGTAAATGATGCTGTGTGTTGTAAATGACTACTGTGTGTTGTGAATGACTATTAATGTATTGTAAATGATGAATGCATGTTATAAATGATTAATGTGTGTTGTAATGAAAATGACTCATGGTTTGTAAATAATATGTTGTTTTGTAAATTAGTGTTGAAATAACTGTTGTGATCTTGTACAGTAGGAACATTGTAAATAGCTGTAGTGTATGTTTTAAATAACTTAGATTGTATTGTAAATAGTGTAAATTATGTGTAGTGTGTATTGTAAATAACATCGTGTGTAAATGACTGGAGAGTATGTTGTAAAAATTCAGTGTGTAATGATATAGTTGTTTTCTTGAAAGTGTACGTTGTAAATGCTGGAGTATTGTAAATAATCATGTAGTGTTGTAAATGATAGACTGTGTTGGAGATAATTTGTAAATGACTAGAGAATGTGTAGTAATGACTGTAGTGCGTGTTGTATAATGACCTGTATGTGTTGTAAATGATGGTCGCTGCGTATGACTGAAGAGTACGTTGTAAATACTGTAGTGGTGTAAATGACTGTAGTGTGTTGTAAATGATTGAGGTGCCACACGTATAGTACCTTTAAGAGGCGTGTGTGATAGTGCTCTCAATACATTTCTCGGTAACATGATTACCGGAACTGTGTAGCCCTTACGGGTTTTCTGCTTTAAAATATGAGCTACCTCTTTCATTTTATTAGAGAAGCGCTAAGTCAGTCACAAGCCTGGGGGAATCGGGAAAAATCTGGTTCAGTCCGAAGCTTAGGTAGTAAATTCTGGATCAGAGGCTTTCGTCAGTTCAAGGCATCGCATCCACTGATGCTGAATTAACTTAACGTATTCTAACCTAACTTAGTCTAACTTGATCTTACCTGCTCTAAGGCTAGCTTATTAGAGCTTGATTTAGTCTGGTCTAACCTAGGCCTAACTTTGTCTTGACCCAACTTAGTCTTACCTAGTTGGACCTAACTTAACTGTGGATAATCACAAAATAATCCACGCTGACCTCATAACAAAGTATCTAGTACTGTCTAACTTAATCAGACATAACTTAGCACAAATAACTTAGGATATCTTAGGCCCTAAGGAACAGTAACCGGACCAGTAATGAACTACAGGCCTTCATTGAACTTTAGGCCTACGGTTAGTAAATAATAGACCTTCAGTTAGTGTACTATTGGCCTACAGCTAACGAATAGGCCTACAATTGAACTATAGGCCTACAACTAGCGAACTATAGTCACAACTAGTGAACTATCGGCCTACGGCTAGTGAACTATAGACCTGTAATTGATGAACTATAGGCCTATAGTGAAATATAGACTGACATGTCCTTTGCTATACTGTTTTGATAAAACCAAAATTATATACTATATTTTGAGAGAAAGCTCTTAGTGTGCTCTCTCTCATTAGTAGAGATAACTTCTTACACTAACAGAATGACTTAGACTGAATTTAAAAGACAATAAACACGGGCCACCATGAGCGTAGCTCTGCTCCTGTAATAACGTATATTTAATTAAATAGCTAAATAAACATGTCCCCCTCCTGCCTCCATTATCTACCCGTTTTCTAAGCAATACTGGGAATGCACAAAACATCACCCATGTTTTAAACATCAGAGGAAGAATGATGATAGTGTACCAAGAGAATGGAAATAACACACACAATGTGGGTTGTGACGTTTTACTCGTATAGTGAAGATCCTCCCACCTGGAACTTTGTCAATAAACAATAAAAGTCATAACCTGCACTGTGTCTTGTTTACATAAGATGCAGGTTGGTTATGAGGGTTTAAAGCTTATCGACCGCACTACCATTAAGGTTACTCATCACCTTTTCACCACCAGACAAATTTCGCGTGCGTGCAGGCAATTTTTTTTAATGTAAAATAGTAAAAACATGAATTAATTGGAATCCGTGCCGGAATACTTTAATGTCTAAAATAGGGATTAACGTGAACTCTCAGCATACGTACGCTGAGAGAAATACACTTCTCGGTGTATGTGACCTGTGAGAGAGGGTTAAATTAGGTGAGACTGGTTAGGACATAGGGTAATTTTTTCCTGACGCGGGTCTTATTCATATGATGACCCGCCACTGGAGCTTTTGGTCATATGACCGAGGCCTTCCGCTGGCTTACCTGTCCACCCCTTTAAAGAAATGAAGATAACTGGTTGGTTTATGAGATTTAAAGCCAGTTGACTATACCGAAAAATCTGTACAATGCGTATTTAACTTCGTGTGTGTGTGTATAGATATAAAGAATCTAACACAAAGTGGGAGTTGTCACTGTTGCTCTTTGCTGATGACACTGTGCTTTTGGGAGATTGTGAAAAGAAGTTACAGATGGTGAATGAGTTTGGTAGGGTATGTAAAAGAAAATTAAAAGTGAATATAGAAAAGAGCAAGGTGATGAGGATAAAATTAGGAAACGTAAGATTGGATATCAGATTGGAGGGAGAAAGTATGGAGGTGTTAGCAGAGAGGGAATATATGAGAGTATAGTTATACTTACGCTCTTATATGGGTGTGAAGCATGGGTGGTGAATGTTGTGGTAAGGAAAAGGCTGGAGGCAGTGAGATGTCATGTTTGGTGTGAATATAATGCAGAGAATTCGTAGTTTGGAAATTAAGAGATGTGGGAATTACCAAAACTGTTATCCAGAGGGCTGAGGAGGGGTTGTTGAGGTGGTTCAGGCATGTAGAGTAGAAATCTGTAGTAGAGGGAAGGCGGGGGTTAGGAGTCGGCCTAGGA